GCACTTTGGCCACAACCACCCCATGCAGCGCTACAGGCTTGGGGAAGAGTGGCTGGAAAGCTGCCTGTCGGAAAAGGACCTGGGGGTGTTGGTCGACAGCCGGCTGAACATGAGCCGGCAGTGTGCCCAGGTGGCCAAGAAGGCCAAGGGCATCCTGGCCTGTATCAGAACTAGTGTGGCCAGCAGGAGCAGGGAAGTGATCGTGCCCCTGTACTCGGCCCTGGTGAGGCCGCACCGTGAACACTGTGTTCAGTTTTGGGCCCCTCACTACAAGAAGGACGTTGAGGTGCTGGGGCGTGTCCAGAGAAGGGCAACGAGGCTGGACAAGGTCTGGAGAACAAGTCTTATGAGGAGCGGCTGGGGGGACTGGGGGTGTTTAGCCTGGAGAAAAGGAGGCTGAGGGGAGACCTCATCGCTCTCTACAACCACCTGCAAGGAGGTTGTAGCGAGGTGGGGGTCGGTCTCTTCTCCCAAGTAACTGGCGAAAGGACGAGAGGAAATGGCCTCAAGTTGTGCCAGGGGAGGTTTAGATTGGATGTGAGGAAAAATTTCTTTACTGAAAGAGTGGTTAAACATTGGACCAGGCTGCCCAGGGAAGTGGTTGAGTCACCATCCCTGGAAGTATTTAAAAGACGGGTAGATGAGGCGCTTAGGGACAAGGTTTAGTGGGCATGGTGGTGTTGGGTTGACAGTTGGACTCAATGATCTTAGAGGTCTTTTCCAACCTTAATGATTCTATGATTCTATGATTTTATCTGGGGGGAATTTAAAGGCAAATAATAATGATCAGTGTTACTTCCACTGCAGCAGCACTTATTAATTCCTACTGAAGAAACTGGTGCTGGATCTAGTCAGAAATGACATATTCATTCCCTCCTCTCTCCTTCTGCCCCAAATGAGATTTACCAGAAAAAAAATAGTTTTTAGTCAATTGAGGGTCTCGGTGAGGCACAGGCAGGCAGGTGACCTACACTATCATTCCCTCTTACGGGCCAAGAGGTAACGTGAGCAGCAAGACTACACGTCAGGGAGGGCAAACATGGAAGAAGAAAGTCAGCTTTAAGAAAAATTAATGACCCTGCAGGGTAGGTTCAGCACTAGTTTGATTCAGAAAAACAGAATGGGTGTAGCCAGAGGGTTGGAGAAGTCCATCTAAAAAAATAGAGAGTTGTTTCACTCCCAAAAAACTTTCCTATTCAGTGGAAAATTCAGCTTGCTACGAAATCAGATGGAAGTCTCTGAGCCAGCCCAGGCAGGGGTTCACCTATACACCCAAACGAGAAAGGCCAAGAACAAGGCATCAAAACACGCAGCCCTGCCAAAGCCTCAGTGGTTTTATCATCTAGAGTTCAAATCAAGACCTCCCGTCCTGCTGCTCGCACTGCATGCGGAAGAGTTTCCAAGAAACGTCTCTTGGCAGTAATCCCAAAAACGCAGCTTCCGACCCGCTGCTGGGAGCGGAGCCGCTGCGCGTGGCGGCGGCTTCTCTGCAGATTTTGAAAGCTGAATTTCCTACGAAGCTGCCCCCATGCCACATCCTTCACTGCTAACATAGCACTGAAACAGCGCAGTGTTTTCGAACAATGCCCTCGATTTCTCTAAACACAACTGTTTACGCAAGCCTAAGGCTTGCCTGAGGCAGGCCTGGTGGCCTAAGGCTCGGGGAGAAGATGAGCCCACCCTCGTTCTCACTGCGAGTTTTGCACATCATCGAGGACACTTCCTCCCTACCCTTTCTGTAAACCTCTTGGGATCATGAAAATAATTATGGTGGAAAGACCTGGGCTAAGCCAACCGTGTCCTATCCAGCAGGGTAAGCTGGGAGAGACACTGAAGCCCTGGAAGATCAGGTAGTCATGAGCCAGTGCAATCATCCCTGGCTAGGAAAGGCAGGATTCCAGGTCGGGTTGGACGGGGCTCTGAGCAACCTGATCTAGTTGAAGATGTCCCTGCCCGCGGCAGGGGGGTTGGACGAGATGACCTTTAAAGGTCCCTTCCAACCCAAACCATTCTCTGATTTTATGATTCCCACTCGTGCTCTTTGGGAGAGGTGGCGAGGGTTTGCTAGCGGGTCTGTTTCTACCTCCCACCCCCCCTTCCCCTCCTCCAGTAATGTAGCGTTTTCAGCTCGGCCAGTTTTGACTTGAGACCACTGCGACCTCTACTCAGAGGTGCCACCAGACCTGGGAGCACTACAATATTTGGGATCCCAAGGTTTCCAATTACAGATGCAGAACCTTTTAGGATGTAATCGAGGTTTCAGATCTAAACTTTGAAGTCTTCTTACATGCGTTCTGCAAACGCAAGCTCCCTGGTCTGCCAGCATTATAGCCCGTGATAAGTCTGAGCTAGAATAAATGTGCGACATTGCTGAAATGGCTGACAAAAAGAGGACGTTAACTTGTGACAAGTGAATGTGACCAGTGAAAACAAAGCCCAGAAATCTAGCGATACAGCTGAGTGGATAGCTTTGTATAGACTTCATGTGTTAGTTTTCTCCCACATAATCCAAATCCGAATGCTTTGGACCTGTGACATGAATCAAGAAGTGATGTATAATGAAACACTTTAAAAAGCAACCCATAAAAGCAGAAAAGGGTGCTCAAGCCCTTCCAGCTGACATCGGATATTTCATAACCCCAGTTTTAGAGAGAAAAAACACTCAGCCCAAAACACCTTTCCAGTAGCCCACAAGAGACATGAGGCTCACAGTATGACGGACACCTCCAGCACCCCAGCGTCCAGCTCTGCATCCTGCCTAGCAGCCCACACTACCTGAAACAGCAGAACAAGTCCCATGACCTTAGCTGTGGACCTTGCTTATTCCGAAGGGATTTTAGTGTGGAAGAGAAGTGCTGTTGGACTATTTCACTCCAGCTGACAGAGTCATGTCCACATCTGGCTTCATCAAGCAAGACAAACCACTCTCACGCAAGCAATTTTGTTGAGACCATTTACGCTGGCCAGTCAAATCAGACAGCACTGGCCACGGCGAAGGATCAGCCCACAGCCATTCCTCTCCACGTGAGTTCAGGCGCATCCTGCCCATCCGAGCGGCTTTAGGATCCCAGCTGGCCACTGAATTGCTGGCTTGCAACCCCAAACAGCTAAGAAGCCTTGATGGGCACATCCAGACCACAGGTTTTTTGAGAAAGCTACTCCCTGAGTGCAGGTAGCATCTTTGTCCTACATATGGTCTGTTGCAAAAAGACAAGGGGGAATGGCTTTAAACTAAAGGGGGGTAGATTCAGACTAGATAGAAGGAAGAAATTTTTGTCGCTGAGGGTGGTGAAGCACTGGCCCAGGTTGCCCAGAGGGGTGGTGGATGCCCCATCCCTGGAAACATTCCAGGTCGGGTTGAACGGGGCTCTGAGCAACCTGGTCTAGTGGAAGATGTCCCTGCCCACAGCAGGGGGGGTGGACTAGATGGCCTTGAGAGGTCCCTTCCAACCCAAACCGTGCTGTGATTCTACGATTCTATATTCACTGGATTACGATAGGACCTGTGTTATTTTGGTAGATATTTGAACATATTCAGCCTCTTGCTTCTCTAAAAAGGCTTTTCTTATACAAGCAAAAACTGAATATTACACGGAGTTTAGGCTATTAACGTTTACGGTGTGCATCATAGGCAAATTTCTTCTGTATCTCTGACTTTAGCCTCATTGAACTTAATCCTTTTCTGGGATCAGCTATGGAGAAAGCATGCACTAAAGACAAAGCCCTTCTTCTAGGACAGTTGGACACTTCTCAGTAAATTGGTGGGCTTAATTCAGCTGTTGACCTCAATAGGAGTTCTCCCCAAATCAAAAAGTGAGCCAAGCAGACTAAAAAATACACGTAGCAAAACACAGTTAAGTACATATACACACACACACACACACTAACAGATCTGAAACTCCTTGCTAAGTATCACACAAACTCAAAAGGAAGCATTTAGTCGTAACTAATAAAAGTTACGATTGACTTCAGTTTGGCACAGAGGTATCACACCAGGTTTGCAAAGAGTTCAAAGAATTTTTATATGAAACCATAACTTGGCCAAGTTTGTGAAGCACGCAGTGTCAGCAGGACCCTGTGTGCGAGCCTTAAGGAAATATCAAACCACATAGACAAATTTCATCTCTAGACAGGGTGAACCTCTGAAAGCCACAGCAACAAGAAATGCTTTAAAAAAAAAGACCTCGTTTATAAAAATCACCAGGTTTCACACGCACATCTCAATTTGCTACTCTAGCAACACCATCCTCGCATCAAATCCTTTTTGGTTGGAAAGAGTCCTTTGAAATACTGAACAAGAAATCTTACAGTAAGATTTTTATTTTTATTTTTTTTAAAAGCATTCCTCAATCTTCTCCTCGAGTCAGACCATGGGAAGAACTTTGACCAGAACAACTGCCCACAAACTCCCTGCTGGGTGTTGTTTTTTGATTCACTAACGTCCTGAGTAACATTCCTTCTTACTCCATGACCTTCTTTCTTACTCCATAACCTTCCTTTTCCTCAAAAGGCTCTGGCTTCCCCCCCCCTTAATAAATCGCTCATGCCAGTATTATGTGCCCATCTGTTCCAAGGTAAGAGCAGAGGTCAGTATATTTCAGTCTAATACTGGTCTGTATAACCAAGAAAAAAAACCCTTAAGAAAAGCCCTCTCCAAAACAGTGCAAATATTGATACCCAAACTCTTCATGCCTTGCAACACCAACCAGAAGTTTCAAAAACGAAAGACTCCTTCAAGTAAATAAAGAGAAAATACTGGGTTCATGAAAGTTTGCGTCAAAACAAAGGCACCCCCTCAGCCTGAGAAGACCGCGCTCATTAAGACCAAGCAGGGGAACGATGGAGCGCAGGTTTCACCATGTAGATGCTGTAAGACTGAGAGATGTGAATCCATGAGAAAGCTGTACAATTCAGCACCTCCAAAGGCTGCTGTTCTCCTGTGCAGGCTACAGCAGTACTAGCTTCATACCCAAAACATCTCATTTATGTTTCTACCATACCTTAAAAGGGACGCTCATTCAACTTTTCACCTCCCCAACGCGACGGTCAAAGCTTTTCCGATTAATATCAAACCGGGACGATGATGGGTAGTACACAATCAATCCTTGTTAAGGCTGATGATTATTCTCGATGCGCCCTGTGAGAGAGAAACACCCAGTTAATGGCTTGTGCCAAGATGAGCGAGTCATTTCACACTGATCAGCCATATTAAGCAAACAGCCTTTTTATTGCCCCAACTGCTTGAATTTTGTCGTGGATGACTGGGACCGTCCCATATAACTGAGACTGTCCCAGCCACTAACGTAGTCTCCATATAAAATAAGTTTATCACAGTGTTACAAGCACACCTGCAGGTACACCAGCCCGCAGGAGGCATGGAGAGGGCGGAGAAGAAGCCTGAAGACCATAGCTCAGGCCATTTGGGGAGCAGCCCAAGGCTACGCGGTCTGCTAATACACCAGGAACCTAATGAACAACAACAAAAAAACCTTAGTCTTAAACCGTTCTGTTTTGCAGAGAAGACAACGAGGAACATACAGCACTTGGCCTGAAGCTGGAAAGATCTCCAGTTGTGCCAGATTTTACATCCAAATCTAGACCGCTGCCTTAAAAACAACCTTATTTTCCCTTTTCTAGAGAAGGCAAGGTTTGTGGACAGAAGGAGGACCCTTGTTAGGCCAGCCAGCAGCAGTGGAAAAAGGGGACAAACCTTTCAACCGTACAAACCCTTCTGGAGGCCTGACACAGGGGAAGGTGCCTTCAAAGCACCTTTGCTCTGCTCACGAAAATGGCTCCGAGGTGGAATTAAGCATGTATCAGTTAGACCATCTGCAGGAGCAAATAGGTGGCTCTTCTGGAGTTGTGGGTATGTTAGTAAGGAGGAGAGGAAAACGATAACTATTTCATCAAGTTGGGGGAGAGACGAGTGAATTATTCCCTTGGCAACCAGCTCAATGGGAGCTGGTTATTTTCTCAATTATTCAGTTTCTCAGTTACTTTCTGTAGGACTCCTTCCAGTTTCAGATTTCATTTTCAACCGAAGCTCGCCACACTTTCCACATGCCGCACAACACATGGAACAGGCAAGATGCATTTTTATAAGGTAAGGCAAGTCTTAAACAGCTAAAAGCACCTATGCTGTTAGAACATCTCGGCCAAAGTTAATGATCCCCTCAACTGTAGCAAGTGAAAAGCTGATGTTCTTTATTATACTGCTTTATTAGAGCATTAAAGCCCTCTCACATTGAGAGTAAGCTGCTGTGCACAGCACCCAAACCACCCACCAGCGCCCAGGCAGCAAAGCCGGCAGCTGAACCGACGCCTGGGAGCTCCGACAGCAACGCCCGGGTTTGTCCCTGAGCCGCTCGCTGTAGCTGAAGGAGACTGCCAGGCTGCAGAGCACCTCTGAAAGAACCAATATCCCCGCTCCAGCTCAAAGTATTGCAACGACAGCTTTTATATTCGCATTTGATAAATGGGATGATCAATTTTTATTTATTTTTAAGTTATTGTGGAAAGGAGATACATTCTGCAGACACCGGGAAGAAGCAGCAGAGCATCTTCTCCCTCGTGGTGCAGCAATGCCGTCCGGACGCCCACTCCACCACTTTGCATTCCCCAACAAATAACCCAGGCTTGCTCACGGCAACGTGGATTCTCCATCTGGCTTTGTAGCAAAACAGGCTCCCTCTAATTATCGCTCAGCCTGACGACATCTAAATGGTGGAACAGGAACATGGCAGAGACTCAAAATGAGAGAGCGTGAAAACAAGACCGTCTCCTTTCTCCATTCACACCGCAGGTCCCAAGCGCACGAGGACAGGCTCCCACCCGAGTCATTCCCAGCAACACTTCACAGCCCGGCAGCAACCACGGATATTTCCCACGCAAGTGGGTTTTTTAAAAAAATTATTTAAAATGAGAGGATAGCAAGAGTAACTTTGGGACTGCAAGGAGCAACGGTGTGATTAGAAGGATCAGTCATGTCTAGAGAGTCTTATTAGAAGTAATTTATATGCAAGTAAAATATCCCCCACTTTTCTAGGAAAATGCCAAATTCCATACTGATTTACACGCTTTACAATCTCATTGACTTCAGAGGGATTGCCCGCGGTATGAATCACCGGGCTGTGGCCTCCCAGCAACACAGAGTAATCCCTTCACACTCCTCCTTTCAAAAACCCCATCATCCGACCAGGTGCTGCAGCTAAGCCCCCACGAGCTGAGCCTCAGCCCTGCGGCGACGCTTCTCCTCTCCCTATTAAAGCTTGGGAAGGGGGTGAAAGGGAAATAAAAGTCGGATGATGGAAATGCCGACAAGCGAGAACCACGGCCTCGGCGATGCCAGCGTGCGTGGCTGAGCCGGGGGGTTATTTGGGACAGTGCGGGGGGAGAGGCATGAACCCTCCTTAAGCCTAATTAAATCCAGACCCAAAAGCCATTCTGATCCGAGGGCATTAAGTATTTTTGTTAGGAAGGGCAGGGATAAATTAACTCCTAACTCGGGCCCTAATCTTTTTTCATTGTTGTTTAAATTCTCCCACTTCCTAAGATTTCAGCATTTCCTCGTGATAAAGAGGAGCTCCAGTCTGCCAGCTCATCTGCCCCTTCTCCTCAAGGCATCTGGGCAGATGCTTCCCCCAACCAAGCTCTTAAAAATTACACGACCCGCTTCTCCATTTGCAAACATCGGTGCAAAGGGCAACTGCTGACCCCATTCTTCACCTTCATCACAGCTGTTATTTACAGTGCTACCAACACACTGGCATAGAGGCTAATAAATGTTTAATGGCCCAGTAAACACCAAGGGCTTTATCTATAGCCCATTTCAAAGCCTGATCAAATATAATAATCCTTTGCACGGCTGTCTGCCACTTCCCTGGCCTCCTGTGGGATGGAAGGAGATGTACATGGCTGCTCTATATTCAGACAAGAAAGGGAGGGTAGCTACGGGAAAGGGGGGGTTAGCCATAGGGACACGGATGTTTCCCCTGCTTCCATCTCAATTTCTCGCTCCCAGAAGGGCAGGACTATGCACCAACCTGTCGGACCTCAACTTCCATATAATACAGAAATGCAGGTGGCACCTGCCTCTAGGATTCAAAAGAGCCGTTATAAACAACAGGAATATTACACATAGGAAGCAGAGAATACGTGGAGAAAGTTGAGAGAAGTATCATTTACTTACAGACTGGGGTGCAGGGGAAAAATACCTGCACTCTTCATGAAGTGCTGTAGGAGACTATGAGACCAGGAATG